AATGAAGGGACAACAAAAATGCATATACATAACCTATATATGTATACATATAACATTATATATATATATATATATATATATATATATATATATATATATATATATATATATATATATATATATATATTTATATACATACACCATTATATAAATACACACACACACACACACACACACACACACACACACATATATATATATATATATATATATATATATATATATACATATATATGTATGTATATGCATATATATACATACATGTACACACACACATATATATATACATACATATGCATATATATATACATATACATACATGTGTGTGTGTGTGTGTGTGTATACATACCATATACATATATATACATACACACGCATATATATACATATATGTATATATATATATATATATATATATATATATATATATATATATATATATATTAGGGTGCATCAGTTGCCCCCCTTTTTTTTAAAAAATGAGAACTTGCAAACGGCCCTAATGTTTTAGTGTTCCATTCCACTAGAAAAAATTTCTGGTATTTTTTTTTTGTAATTCGAATGTCATGTACCGGGTCCACATCTCTCGTAAAATTCAGGAAATTTCTAAAAAATCGTTAAAAATAAGAGATCAACAGAAATGACAAAAAAGGTCAAAAATATTTTATTCCAAGCATATACTGGATATTAAGAACATTTCACAAGGAAAAACTATGTAATGATAACCGTAAAAGAGATAGAACAGTTATTATCAGGTTATTATTGTTGATCACAAATGCTATGCTTAAAGTCTTTTCTTTTTTGGGTTTCTTAGCTTCGGCGTGCACTTTCTGTCAGACTCCACAACGTGGAGGATGTTTTGATAATTGTCCTCTTTCCTTGCTGCGCTTGCATAGTCCGCACTGAGTTTTACAGCTCTTTCAGCACAGTCATTGGTGACATTGATAGAACTGACATGGGACTTCGAAGTGATGTACGAGTCAGAGGTCTCCCAGTCATCAACACCTTTTGAAAGAAAGTCAGGATTCAAATCCAGTAATTTGAAGATATACCGGTATCTTCGCTGCTGTTGGCAAGCTCTACCCGCGAGTACGTGGATCGCAGTTTTTCTGAGGCTTTTTGCTTTCTGTCTGATTCCTTCTGTTTTCGTGCTTCTCTCCGAGCAATCTGATCGGCCAAAACCTTATCACGAGAACCAAAAGAAGCTTTTCTGTCTGTTTGCATGGAAATCAAGAAGGCAAGGTCTTCCGGATTTTTAATAGTATTTTGTGCGTCTCGCGACCATAGGGGGAACGTTTTCTTCAACTCAACTTCAGCGTCACGTAATTTAGTTTCAACTGCCTGTGATGAACGCCTGTCCATAGGAATTTCACGCAGTTTCGCGTTTCGGTCAGCTAACTGGATTATTTTCTCACTTGCTTTTTTGGTCGTTATCATGGGTATGTTTGCTTTCATGTAGAAAGGAACTAGTTTTTCTAGAACGATTTTTGCAATGTCTCTTTTGGAGCAGTTTGATGAGAGTCCCTCCATTTGGTGAAATCTAAAACATCGAAGCACTTGTTCATTTGTTGGTAGTCGTATGCCAGTTATTTCAGCATCGTCGGCGGTAATTTTTGCTCCTAACCCAAATATCAAACAGTCTTGGCGGGTTTCTGGTTTTGGCTGCTCCATGCGAGCCTTCTTACAGCTATGTTCTGACATTTCTTCTCTTAATAACTGCACTGCACTCTGAATTCTGAAAAAAACATAAAAGCAAAAATGTGGTCTACCGAACCTGCCTATACTGTCTTATACATTGGGGTATGGGCCAAACTTCGACATCGATGTGGACCCGGTAGATCAACTCGGAATTTCATAATTTTTTTTCTAGATTTTTTTCTCAGTCAATGGAACACAAAAATTATAGGGCCGTTGTAAAGTTCTGATACCGGGGCAAGTGATGCACCCTAATATATATATATATATATATGTACATATATATATATATATATATATATATATATATATCTTTGTATATATATATATATATATATATATATATATATGTATATATGTATATGTATGTATATGTATGTTATATATGCGTATATATGTACATGTACAGTACATATATATCTATATATGTATTATACATATCTGTACATATATGTATGCATGTATATATGTATGTATGTATGTATGTATGTATCTATATATATACATACATATATATATATATATACATATATATATGCACAGCACATATATATGTATACATACATATAAATATATATATACATGTATATACATATAAATATATATATACATGTATATACATCTATGTATATATACATGTAAATACGCATACATATATACATGTACATATACATACATATATACATATACATATACATACATACACACATGTATATACATACATATACACAAGCATATACATATGTACACTCGCTTAAAAAGTATCTTTACTTTTTCTGACTCAACAATATAATACGACGACGAAAACGGTTGAAAAAAGATGTTGTGAACTCGACCTGATATTGATATCCCTGAGAGGGGCGATATTTAGGGGGGGAATGGTAGAAACTTCTCGTCCATTCCACATAGGTATACCCCGTAAATCTACCGGGCTCGACATTCGTTGGCTCCCCGTTTCCGCTGCTGTGCATTCACTCCAACTGCTCAACGATTTCTGACAGTCTGCGTGCTGTAGCCAGCAGAACAAAGGGGGTTCGCATTCCTTGGTTTGTTGAAAAATAATAATAATAAGAGTAAATAACTAAGAAGAAAATGGCTCACAGTAGGGAAACATAGCAACTAACTACTTACCACGCCCCCTATTCGAACCCAGTAAGGTATCAAATGGTTTTTATTAACTTATGATATCCACGCACTTCAGTGCAAGCTTCCTATTTGTCTTTCATAGAGCCCATTGAATTGTAATTTTGAATGACATTTACTTGATCATCTTCCTCCATCGTGCATCTAGGGTGCCCACTTCTAGCCTTGTCTCTGGTGGGTTCGTTTGCTTGGTGTCGCTGGATCCACAAGCGACACAGTTGGCTTCGAAATAACTAATCTTGATGTTTCGGAACTTGATAGTCTCTCAGAGTAAAGCGTAATTATGAAGCTACAAGAGTCTCCATTGCTAATATCGGCATGATACGAGGACCTTGGCATATCAACTCCGAAACACTATTCGAACACATTATGAAGCTTCATCCGTTCCGAGCTTTGAAAACAACAAGTACCAACATATCCGAATCAACTCCTAGTGATCGTTTCGGTTTCATCTACTCTTGAGTAAAGATACTTTTTGCCGACTGCACATATGTATGTTTCTATATATGTATATGTATATATGTTTATGTATATGTATATATGTTTATGTATATATGTATATATACATATGTATACATATATACACATATGTACATACATATATAAATAAACATACTACATATATATACATATGCATAATATACATATACATATACATATTACATATACACATAAATACTTATACATATATATACTTATATATTTATATAAAAAACATATAACGTATACATATATATACATGTACATATGTATGCATAGTATATGTATATGTATGCATAAGTATATGTATATATATGTTTGTATATGTATACATACATCTATATATACACACATACATGTATGTATATATATATATATATATATATATATATATATACATATATTATAGGTATACAGACATGAACATTTAAATATATATTACTAAATTTCAACTTCCTTGGCCTTAGACACTGATTCGCAAACAAACACACACACATACATACACACACACACACACATATATATATATATATATATATATATATATATATATATATATATATATATACATGTGTGTATATATATATATATATATATATATGTATATATGTATATATATACACCCTTGCTTTACCCCAACATTACATTTTATTGATAGCATCACTAATAACTGAGCAAGGGTATAAATATGTGATATATATATATATATATATATATATATATATATATATATATATATATATATATATTTATATATCCTTGGTCAAGCTCAGCATTATTAACTAATCCCTATTAAATAGCTAGACAATGAAGTTGATTCCACTTGATTTTCCAGGTGACAGAACTCTAGAAGCGGTCAATTTTGGTTATTACACCAGGTAAACCAATATCAGTTATTATGCCAGGTGTGGAACGTAGGAATAGTGGGTTGGCAAGTTTCGGAATTCAGATAAACGTGCTATTGTTTGTCCAAATGTTTATAAGCTGATTACTGAATTTTTCTTACAGACTTTATCATTCTTTCCCTTACGCTTCCGAAATGTGAGCTAGCAGGACTGAATTCCCCCTCTTTGTTGATGAGATGATCATTAATTACTTTGCTTTTAATATTCTGTATTGGTTCTCTTAAATTTCTTTCGGCACCTACAAGGTTTCTTCCAATATCGCCTCCTATATATTTGGCTACACCCCTTCTTGCTATGAACCTTCTTAAGCTAGCTACACATGAATCGACAAGTCAGACATTTTCTGCTCACATAATTTGGCTCTATATTTACGACAATTTACGCAGTTCGCCGTTATACCTTTGGCTATTGCCGCAACATTAATTATCCAAAACTGTTCTCTTAAATATATCATCGCTTTTTTTTTTTCATGTCCTACCTTAACGTGAGCTTCCTCTACTATCAGTTTAGAGACATTAGACTGTCATGAATTGTGGTTAATCTACTGGCTACAAATATGTGATAGCGCGTGGCATTATTAGCAATACACTGTAATACCGAAGTACTATCTGTCTAGAAGAACTTGTTTTCATAATGATAACCTAACTCCTTACTCACTACATTAGCCAGTAAGAGTTGCTGCTGTTAGTTCCATTCTGGGAATGGTGATCTTCTTAAGTGGTGTTACCCTTGACTTTCCTACCACTAAGTTACATTCGATGCTCTGATCAGAGTATTAAAAGCTTGCATATACATCAACGCAATACCCACTATCGTTTACATCGGCAAAACAGTGTAATTGTACTTTAGCATCTTGAGCTTTTACTTTCCTTAAGCATCTTGGAACCTTGATATTCTCCTGGGAATCTATGTCTTTTTTCCATTTCCTATATTCCTTTGATTCTTTGTCAGATTCATCCCATTTCATCCCTTTTGCACAAACTTTGTAAGACTAGTTTAACAGGTAAAGTAAAAGGTGAGACCAATCCTAAGGGATCACACAATGAACTAACTATTAACAGTATTCCTCTTCTATTTTCCTTTTTATCCTTTATATGACAAACTCCATGAGGGAACTCGTTCGGGACAGAGAGCGTATGGCTCGCTGTTTATAAATGAGTATAAGGCTCATTTTGTTGAATATTACGTTTCACTGTAGAAGCTTCTCACCGTCCAGGCAGCGAACATAAGGCTCGTTGGCCAATTTAGCAAGTATGAGTCTCACGAAACGAGGAACCAGTAGGAGGGCTCGGAAATCATAATTTTCGGTGAGTTTAAATAATTACCCAATGAATTGATAGTTTTAATACTGAATTTCTTTATGTTAAGTGTTATGCATTAATTAGTTATGAACATGTATAATATTTCTATGTAATCCTATGTTTATTCTTTGATGTACGTGTAACTAATTAATTTGTATGTTTTCTTGTTATTAATGCTGAACTTGACCAAGGATATATATATGTCACATATTTATACCCTTGCTCAGTTATTAGTAATGCTATCAATAAAATGTAATGTTGGGGTTAAGCAAGGGTGTGTATATATACATATATGTATATATTCACACAGACACATATATACACATATATATACATACACACATATATATACATACAATGTATATTTATTTACACATTATATATATACACACATACATATACACATGTTTATGTATGTAAATATACATATACATGTGCATTATATGTATGTATATATAAGTACGTATATATTTATAGATGTATGCATAGGCGGCGCAAGTGGGAGGCAGAGGGGCGAGCGCCCCCCCCCCACCCCCAGAATGAAAACTGGAGGGGCGAGAATATATCTCCCCCCCCCCCCCCCCAGAGATTGTTGAAAGAAATTGGACTTTACATTTGGTTTTACAATGTAGAGCGAATAGGAATAGAGGGGATGGAGGGTGAATGAGGTAGTGGAGCAGTTTCTTGGATCATGTTTTGGATGTCTTCAAGACTTTCTGGAGAGGAGGTCTGAGAAACAAAAGGTTTCTTATGTGGAGGAGAAGAGGGAATAGATGTTCGAGGAGCAGAGGGAGAGGTGGGCGTGGGCAGGATGTGGTAGATGGAGTGGAATGTTTAGAGTGTCACCATGTTATCACAATCCCAATACCAGATAGCCTACAAACCAGCATTTATCATAATCATTGCATCAGTGTCATCTTCCTCTTTGTGCACATAACAAATAACCATTTTGGTTGCAATTCACCACTACCAATCTCAGAAAATCAGGGTCAACAAAAGGACTTTTTTCTTCTTCTTTTTTTAGTTTGCAACTTTTTAAACAATTAATTCATTTAATTTCCCATTTGGAGTTAATTTTCCCGTATTTGTTCAAATTTTCCTCTTTTCATTCCATGGAAGCATCTGGCTAACACATTTTCATATTTTTCATCGTTTCACTATATTTCTTTACTGAGGATTGTATCAGTATTTTATTGCTCACGTATATATCATTCTTTATTACTTTTCTGCTTCATCTCACAATAATCTTCGAAGAGAAACGACTCTACTTACCGGATGGGCGTGATGCACTCTGATTCAGTCTGTAGAGAAGTGAGCACCCGCGACACGATAGCCCCGGGGAAGTTGGGAAAATACTTTACAGTGTGTGACGTCATAACATGGCGGCTATTTTTATTTCGAGTATGACCTTCGGAGACCAAGCGATGTTGTAACGGCTCCGAGTGGTAGTCAAGTATAGTAGCGTGTCCATTGATAATTATAGTAGTGTTGATTTAAATGACAGTGATAATGAGAAGGATAATTAAGAGGATAATAACAACCATGATAATGATAGAACTATACTAATAATGACAATGATAATAATAACAATGATGATGATGATAATTACTACTAGTACTTAAAATAATAATGATAATAAAAGTAACAGTATTACTGATGATGATAATGATAATAATAGGTAATTATAATAACAATGATAATATATATAATAATGAGATGATAAATATATGATATAATGATAAAATAATAAATAAAATATAACAGTAATAATAACAATATAGATAATAATAATGAGATGATAAATATATGATATAATGATAAAATAATAAATAAAATATAACAGTAATAATAACAATATAGATAATAATAATGATAATTAGTTTTTTTATCATTACTAGTACTACTACTGTCTATTATATTATGGTCTTCACCATCATGATAATCATTACACTGATGATGGTAATCATTATCTTCATTCTTATTATTACGATTGTTTTGTTATTTTCATGTTATCACTACCATTATTATTATCTATATCGTCCCCATTAGTGGTGATACAATTATTATTATCATCATCATCATCATCATCATCATCATCATCAAGTTGTCGGCCGCCTCTTGTACACACGCAAGAGAATCGCTAAGGTCTCTTTAGACCTGTTTGATTGCAGACTGCCCGCCCAATTGAACACATGTCCCGAGGTGATTTCAAACAAACTACCTCGTGGGTCGGTATTCGAGGGCATTTGATTAGTTGTATGTTATTACATTTGAGTGTCGTCCACAGAGTCAGAACTTAGTAGGTTTGACTGCAATTGGTGTTTTTGTAATGTTGTTTGGTGCTATTGTATCAGCGCCAATCTATTATTGCCTCTTTCGTATAATAAAGAGATCCATGAAGAACTGAGAAAGCTGTCTCAGGCCATCTACTCTAACAGCGATACCACTATACCCCGCAGGAATACTTGAACTGTCGGAACCGTAACATCCAATGGTTATCTACATGTATTTTCTCATTATAATAAAAAAAAAGAATGTCTACATTTTTTTTTTTCTTGAAAGGGAAAGTCAGTACAAAAGACATATGCAATTTTGGATGCTGTAAAAATGGTGAATCATTCCTCGTACCACACGACATAGGTATGTGGTACTGGGAGCAGGAACGGGTGTCGGTCGATGAACGTTTATGAGAGAGGATCGTCATACGTTCTACATCAGCAGATCATATTCATTGGCGAACAAGTCTCTTGCAGAGGAATCAGGCGTTGTTGTGGCGGATGGGTGAGGATCGTTATATATTCCATGTTTGATATGACCCCCATTTAATTACCCAATATCGTTTGCACGCGTTCGCTGCTTTTATTCCCAACACAATGTGTAAACACTTTTAGCCGTTTGTGGAATTACTGTACTCTTACATGTATACATAATCATGTTCTCTGTTTAATTTCACATTGCAGCTTATTTTCTTATATAAGCTTCATGTGTTTGCGGACATTTATTTATAAACTTGCGGAACCCTACGGCGAAAGAGCAAGATGACGAATATCGAATATCACTGCACGCATACGCACGCGCGTACACACACACACACACACACACACACACACACACACACACACACACACACACACACACACACACACACACACACACACACATACATACATACACATACACATGTATACGTATACACATATATACATATATACACACATACATATGTGTGTGTGTGATATTACTGTTACCTCTCGCCAGTGCCACATTTCTTGGGGTTAAAATTGTATAAGTGAAATTATACGTACCCTTAGAGCGACAAACAGCTCGCTCCCTGGCCCAGGGGCTGGTGTAGAATTGGCATCTTATCCCCGATCTTAGTAGGCGACACCTATATCCCCCGCAGGACTTTATAGGAACTTTCCCGCTCACGTTGCTCTCACGCCGCTGTTCACGTGACTCTACGTGACTAAGGTCTATGTACGTGACTCACGTGGCACAAGCATAAATTTCAGAATTTGTTTGTCACTGACACATGTGCGCGCTCGCACACACACACACACACATATATATGCACATGCATTGGTAACCTGAGTGCCATTGGGGAAAAATAGTATTTACAAATAGAGTTCCCGACAACGTTTTTAGGTTGCACTGTAACACCGTAAAAATAATTAGCTTTACACACACACACACACACACACATACATACACACACACACACACACACACACACACACATACACACATATACACGCGCGCGCGCGCGCGCGCACACTCACACATATGTGTGTGTGTGTGTGACAGTAGTATGACAGTAGTAGTAGTAGTAGTAGTAGTAGTAGTAATGATAATAATAACTGTCCACATTATGATTATCATTATTGTTACTATTAAGTTATTTATTTTGTTGTTATGTTTAATATTATTATTGTTCTAATTATCTATTATTATCATTATCATCATCAGTAATACTGTTAATTTCCTTTTTTATTTTTTTTAGTAATAGTAGTACTAGTAATTATCATCATCATTTTTGTTATTATTATTACCATTATCATATTTAGTATAGTTCAATCATCATTATGGTTGTTATTATCTTCATAAATATGACTCTCATTATCACTGTCATTTAAATCAACTCTACTATAATCATCAACGTTACTATAGGGCGCCGGCCCGCGAGGCGTCTAGACACCTTGAGAACAGCGACAGACAGACAGTCAGCTGTTGCCTGGAAACTCCCAACGCCAGACACATATAATAGTGCATAATAGTTTGCAGCTTTATCCTTACCAACCAAAATCATCCCATCCAGCTATAATGTGAAAAGACTTTTTTTTTAATGTAGTCTCCAGCGCGTTGTCAGGAAACCAGCGGCACATGAATATTAACAGGATAAAAAATCGACGCGTTGGGACTCCCATTCAGACGTGAATAGTGCCACGGGAGGCGAGTCGTGGGTGCTCACTTCCCTGCAGACGGAGTCGGGAGTGAATCACGCCCACCCGGTAAGTAGAGATGGTTGTGTGTACGAAGATTATTGTGAGGTGAAGCTGAAAAGTTAATAGAGAATAAGATATACGTGAGAGATGAGATACTGATGCAACCACATTTTTAAAATAATGATAATAATTTACATAAAAAACAAGAAAAATATGAAAGTATGTCAGTCAGATGCTTGCATAGGAAGAACAGATAGGAAAACTAACAAACATGCAAATTAGCCCCAAATGGGAAATGTAAGATTACTTGTTTAAAAAGTTGCAGAACTAAAAAAAAAGAAAAAAAGTTATAGTTGTTGATCCAAGACTTTCTGAGATGTAATGGTGAATTTTCCTTGTGAGAAGTGTGAGGATAATTCTGAAATGTTGATTCAGGAAAAAGTAATTGGTTCTGTAATAAAGTAAGTTAAGAAATTGCAGCCAAAACGGTTATTTGGGTCAATATGTAGTATAAGGTAGTAGCAGAGTTGGGTAATAAAACCGACATAAAATGATAGAAAAGTACAAACCAAGACAAAGTTCTTTTATAGCAATATGTGTGCAAATGCTTCCCAAGGGTGCTAGGTATATATATTACCACAGGGGTCCAGGGGGCAGAGCCCCCTGACTAGGGAATATATACCACGGTGTTAGGTTAGGTTGGATGTTGGGTTAGGTCGCCCATTTGCACAAAGAACAATGCCTAGAATTGTTGAAAGCAGTTGATTTCATTCAGAAAAATATCAAAATTGTTTCATAAGTAACCCATCTTCCCTTTTCTTTTATGTATAGCACCCTTGGGGAGCATTTGCACACATATTGCCATAGAAGAACTTTGTCTTGGTTTGTATTGTTCTAACATTTCATGTAGGTTTTATTACCCAACTCTGTCACTACCTTATACTATATATTGACCGTTATTTGTTAAGTGGAAGAGGAAGAGGACACTGATGCAATGAATATGATAAATGTTGGTTTGTAGACTATCTTTGGTATTAGAAATGAATTAGAATTACTCTTTGAGAAATCCATCTTAAGGCAGACTGCTCATTATATTGTCAGATGTCCTCCATAAGTTCGAAAGGCTATTCTGGATTATTGAGGCAAAATGTTGCAGCATTTGAGTAATTATTCAGTATGGGTTTGGTATTGGGATAACACAGTGACATTGCCCAAGGTAGTTTAATATAGATAGTGCCACTCCATCTCAATGGAAATCTTAGTTGGCAACTGCTGAGCTAAGCCCTGCCCAGTAATTCTTTACAATATAGACACACTTGCCAGAAACTAAGTCTCCGACACCACATCACCAAATTCATTCAACAATCTAAATTGCCATGACACCCCAGGAGATATTCATTGCCTCTTCTCAGTATGGACAGCAAGAGAAGCTGAAACTCAGGAGCAACGAATGGACTTAGGCTATGGGCGGCATTTTCCGCAAAAGTTTTCCTTTGTTTATGGTGTTATCTTTCATATCTGCAGGTTATTTCTTATATAAATGACTACAACTTTTAGTTCTCTACAATTATATTACCTTCAGTTAGCCCTAATTAGTGTGTCCATACTGTAAAAATTAACTACTGTTCCAGTTTCCAATATTAAAAGGCTTTTTTTTCTCTTTCTCTCTTTTCTTTTTCTTTTCCTTTCCTTTCCTTGTCTTGTCTTGTCTTGTCTTGTCTTGTCTTGTCTTTTTCTTTTCTTTTCTTTTCTTTTCTTTTCTTTTCTTTTCTTTTCTTTTCTTTTCTTTTCTTTTCTTTTCTTTTCTTTTCTTTTCTTTTCTTTTCTTCTTCTTTTCTCTCTCTCTTTTCTTCTCTAATTCTTCTTCTTCTTCTTTTTCTCTCTCTTTTCTTTTCTTTT